AAAAAAGATTCGTCAATCAATTACAATGATGGATAAATTTGCACAGAATAGTGGTGAAAAAGATCAAACAAATAGTGCTAATAGTAAACGAGGAGCCGTACTAGTGAACTATACACTTACTAATGGATTAAAAGTAAAAATTACTGATGGTAAAGAGAAATCAGACATTCCTTCAACTAGTGCTAATAATGCGGCAGTGGGTGTTTCATTACATCGAGGAAGTATGAGTATCAATGCACCAGCCTATGAACAATCGGCTACTAATCTTGCTTAGTCTTATTCTTAAAATGAATAAATAAATTTTAATACCACTTCTCTTTGTGTTTTGTTCTATACGCATGAACTAATCCTTGTTCTCTTTTTTGTTGTTTTGTTGAACATAGGTCTCAATTATTTCTGATCAAAATTGATAAGATGACAAAAAAAAAAGAATTTGTTTAAAATTACAGATAACTAATCATGATAATAACGGTAAGGAATAGGAAAAAATAAACAACAAATATACAATCATGTATAAAATACAAAAAATAAAGAAAAATACATAGACAAAGAGAGAATACTGTATTCTATGTAATTTTGACACGTCTCATTACTTTCATCAAAATATACAAAAAGTTATATTTGACTTCGTTTCGGTTTCCAACCTATATCTGTGACACTGACTGACTACACATATACACAGTAAATATGTCTCAAAAATTCAAAGTTTTGATAAAGAGACAGTAAAAAAACAAAAATTCTATGGCAAATAGAATGTGACGCATCTGACACGGTATTTGTGTTCTTGCATCGATCAAACACATATATTCAAACAATAAAATACAGTAAACAAAACGTCATAATATCTATAAAAAACGAAGATCAAGTTCAAGAGAAAATTTTGTCTATGCTTGGATAAGAACACATCAGATTAAAAATATTGAATCAAAACGAAGGTAAAAATAAGTTCGTCATCACGATTATACTTTTTTATTATACAAAGCATTATAAGATGGAGGTTGTTCAGTATGATGATGAGCAGGTATATCGTAGTCAGCATGATACGCTAGAGGTGCACTCGGTTGCAACATAGCTTGAGATTCATACGGTTGCATTTGTATTGGATTATAGCCTGGTTGACGAGATGGTTGATAATTTTGATTTGTATGAATGAATATTGGTTGAGGAACTTGAATTGTTTGAGCTAAAAATATTTGAACATATGTTAGAATGATTTATAAAATTCATAAAGAAACTTTCACATGTGTCTCTTATTTTTAATGTGTATTATGTTCAAGTTTCTTTTTCTTTTTTATACGTACTTCGTCCTCGCTTTCTATCATTATTACAGCAACATTTAACGCAAATAATGACCATGGTAGCAATACAACATATAACGCAAAGTGAGACAATCACAATAATGGTGATTGCTACTTTCTTTGCTATGCCCATTATTTCTTCCCCTCTAAATAAAAAAAAAGATTGAGAAAATGTATTAACGACTTTTTTTGAACATAGCTTCGTTTCACACGAAAAAGTTTACATTTTTAAGCAGATTGCAAGTGATTCAAATACTAATTATTATTATTAACCACGCATCAAAAATTAGATTCTAAACTTACGATAATCTATCAGGATTTTAAGTAGAAAACTTGGATTTTTTTGGTATTCCTCAACAAAAAAAATTCATTTTTCAATTCAATTCAATTCAACAAACAAATTCATTTTTGTATGTCTCTTTGTTAACTTTTCTACTCATCCGTTCATTAACACTCTTTTGAAAATTGATACAATGTGATCCATTGGATCGCGATTTCAATCTGTATTAAGATTTTCTTTTTCAAATAAAGTTTATACCAACGGAAAAAATTCAGATAAAAAAAATCAATTTTTTCATACTGTCAAGAGATTCTTTAAATAGTCATTTATATCCACTATACACTTCCTACTTCTTGAATTAGTAAGCTTATTTGTCAAAGTAAAACATCTGTGAGTGACCTCTTAATATATGATCACGGAAAACAGCAGATTCAATAGTGTTTCATTAAGTATGGTCTAGAACCTCGACTTGATACTTCATGAAATACATGATGGAATAAAAAAGATGAATGAAGAAGAATTTGCTTGTGAAGAATTGTTGAAAGAACAAGTTAAAGCGTAAAAGAAATTAGCTAATGTACAAAAATATAGCAGAAGGACGTAGGCACGTGCAGTGAGCGCAGAAATTATTTGTACGACAAGAAAAGTTTTTTTACCGAGGCATTTGTCCCGGAACGAAACAAGTTAAAAGAGTTCTTTTTATACTGTTGGATAGAGCAAAGTCTGGACTACATGATAAAACAAAAGAATTAAAAATTAATTATACTAGGATTTTAAAATTTAGATTTACGATCCACGGTCAAGATCTGCTTGTTGCATCTTAAACACAGTCAAAAGTTAATTCTAAATATTAAATTCCGACTAAATTTGCTATAAAATACACCACTGTGAGCTACTTTTTAGTCAAGAAAACAATCAGATCAATTCTAGGGAAAGATAAAAAGAACGATTATTTCTATTGGAGTAGAAGCCTGCAGACACAGAATGATGTACATCTCAGCTGGTTTTCACTACAAAATAGTTCACAGTGGTGTATTTTATAGCAAATTTAGTCGGAATTTAATATTTAGAATTAACTTTTGACTGTGTTTAAGATGCAACAAGCAAATCTTGATCGTGGATCGTAAATCTAAATTTTAAAATTCTAGTATAATTGATTTTTAATTCTTTTGTTTTATCATGTAGTCCAGACTTTGCTCTATCCAACAGTATAAAAAGAACTCTTTTAACTTGTTTCGTTCCGGGACAAATGCCTCTGTAAAAAACTTTTCTTGTCGTACGAATAATTTCTATGTCATTGGCAATACAACATCACACAACAACGAAAATTGTAAAAAACACACATGAGAAAGATTCTTTGTGAAAATTGTAGACTTTCGTTCGTTCAAACATAAGAAAATTGTTAGGATTTTTAAAATATTTCAACAGAAATCTTCGTACACACACTTTAGAATGATAGAATTCACTCACAAACAACTTTAATCAGTACAAAAAAGAAGTGTTAAATACATTGAAAAGTCGTTGCGATTCAAAGCCCTCTCCCTGTCAGAAATCTATTTCGGTAAATACATGTCAGATCTAGACCAAACTTTTAGCGGATGATGACCATGTCAATGTACTATGTCGAAATCTTTTTTGGTTTCATCCATCTCAGTTTCCGAGATGTCATCACAAAAGTGAATAAAATGGAGCAGCTAAGGTTTCTCAAAATTCTCACTAAGATTAGGAGCTAGAGAGTTCGAGTTGATCTTGTTTCGTAGAACAAAGCTGTTGTTTTGGTATTGCATAGTCGGATTTTGAAGTTTTACGTTAATTATTAAAACAAGGTATCTTTCGTCAAAGCCTCTGAAAACTTCTTTGACGTTTTTCAGAGATTCTAAGTTTGAATTAATTCTCGAAATAAAAATAAAAAATCCCAACTCTGTGCCGTTGAAGCGACAATATTTCTCTGCACAACAAGGCCATCACGAGCTCTCTGCCACTTCAACTGAGTGAAAATTTTGGAAAATTCTTGGAGTGACGAAGAGGAAAGTCGATTTAAAAATATAGCAACGCTAGTGTCTGGTACAGATTTTAGGGCCCTTAGTAAAACTGCCATAATTTTTGATTAAACCATCTCTCAGCATTGGGAGACGTCAGATATTAACCAGCAATTTTTGCTCTACAAGGTAGAATCATTGAAATGCTGTTTGATTGAAACCCTCAAGAACTTTTGTTATTGGCAAAAACACCACGGCTTCTAAGAGTAGACATCTCGGGCTATTCATCCATATGTTTAGCCCAGTATTGACATTTTATAAAAAAAATGCATATTTCTGACAGGGAGGCTCTTAAAAATATATATCCACGTTTTTTCATAACAACGTGGTATGCTGCGTCTGATTATTGTTATGTGCGAAATAAATGATGGAAACTTGCATGAAAAAGCCAAAATAAGCAGTTGCAGCAAAAAAGAATAGCACACCCCAGTCCGTTCGTATTTTAAACGATGACAGCAAAATAGTCATATTTTTTCTTAAAGTACACACCGTACATTTCATAATAATCGACGTCCTTCCTATTAATTAATATATATAGTTAAAATTATAAAATATACTTACAATAATGCACGTTAGATAAAGGAATAGACTTATCTAGTGATAAGGTATTTTTACGATTACTTACTGCCTCAGTCGGATTTATGTCCTCTAATAATACTCATTGTCGTTCAAAAACGAATGATGTATTTTTTTTTAGTTTAGTTTAAAAATTGACAAAAACTATAGTATAAACGAAAGATTAATACGAAAGCAAAGGCTGTGTAGTACATTATACATACATACAGGTTTCTGTTTATCTGCGTGAATTAACGAAATAGCAACTAAAGATAAAAAACGACTACTTGTTGTACCTTTCGGTCTTTTGCATGGCTTTCGCAATATTTATAACAAAACCAGCCGTCTGAATGACTCTAAACAAATGGATATTAACCTACTGTGATGTACCGCTTACACAGCATATATAGCATACAACATATATAATAATCTCACATAACAAGATGAAAATTTATTTCATTTTAGCTAATACAAAGAAAATAACATTCTTTTTTTAACTTACTCGATGAGTTGTCGTTTCTGACGTCTAGCATTCGGTAGATCATCATTAAGACGAATAACACTAAAATAAATACAATTTCAAGAACAGCTAGATATATTTATAAAAATAAATTCACCGAATCAAAGTTTTTTCTGTTGTTGAAGATATATTTTGTTCTTGTATCTGACTATTAACAATCGTTTCATGTTCGGAAACTGGAACACCTAATATGAAAGAAAAAATGAAATTGAAAAATTGAGACTAATTTCAATGATAATTGAACATTTACTGATCACTGCTGATTGTTTCACTGGTGATGTGTCGATATAAGCTGCATCCAAATAAATAAATCTTGTAGTAAGAATAATAGAAAATGTTTTGAGGAATAATAACATAGAGCTAAGAGAACATTTCAAAATAAACATGCTTTACACCTATGTTGTCTAAAAATAAATAATATACAGTTAGAATGATGAGTATTTTAGAAATAAATGTTCAAGAATGTGTGCTGCAACATACGGACATTCAAGATTCTTCCGAGAAGATAAATTCCTTGAAGCGACTTCCAGCACTTATCGGGTGTCCCAGGTAAAATGGTCCTTTTTTGTTTTTGCGATAACTCCATCATTTTTTGTGAAATTTGCTCAAACTTTTTTTTAAACGATGCGCCATTTAATTCTCTACAAAAACATGTGTCACCAATTTTCTCGGAGTAGAAATTCTTAGAGTTATCAAAGAAAAGGTGAGGACATGTAAAAGTGCCAACTTTCTAAGCCAAAGTTGCCGCATTTTCTTTGGCATTTTCGACAAGTGAAATCACATTGGCCGCTTTAATTTATGTTTGTTTCTAGTACTTTAAGTATGCTCTTTCTAATGGCCTACAAGTAACGTTTATTGTCCACTTAGCTGGCTCAAAAAGTCAAGATTTTTTGCAAGTACCAAAAAATTCGGCTTTTTTTACAACCTGTGTCAAATAGAGTAGACATGCGGTGTGCCAAATTATCAAAAGCGATTTCATCGAGCAGGTGCGACTACAGGCTACAAAATGAAAAAAAATTATCAAAAAAAGATGAGTTTTGGCTGAGTTATGAGGATTTTCGTGGAAGAGATAAAAAAAACTGCAAAATGGTGCTTTTCTGAGAAAACAGAAAAATCTCTTCTCGCCGATGCGGGCTTTGGAAAATTTTTGGAAGTGACTATCTGATAGAACTTTTTGCGGTCTTTCGAATGGCCATCTCGGATTTTAGACTCTGAGGAAGATTTTTGAGAAAAATCATTTTTTGCCTTAGAAAGTTGGAACTTTTACACATTCTCACTTCTTTTATAACTCTAAGAATTTCTACTCCGAGAAAATTGGTGACACATGTTTTTGTAGAGAATTAAATGGCGCATCGTTTAAAAAAAAGTTTGAGCAGATTTCACAAAAAATGATGGAGTTATCGCAAAAACAAAAAAGGACCATTTTACCTGGGACACCCGTTATTATGTCTCTTTTTAACAATGATGAATATAAAGGTACATGGGTGAAATTATTTTTCTTTTTGACCATAACCGTCATAAAGTAAAAAAATACTAATTAATTCAAATGAAAAAAGAGAGAACGTTTGTTTATATTTCATAATTTACCTCTCATTTCAAATACAAAATACATAAATATTATTTTACTAGGGTAAAACAGTAGATATATTAAAAACAAAACACGCCATAAAAAAGGAAGATACACACGGATAATGACAAAAGATAGAGACTTATACACAAAAAAATGATTTGATTTGCCTCCTAATAATCCTGTAACGGATGGCCCGAAAAAAATTATAATGTTAGTATTTTCAATTTTTCTCCTCTTTCTTATAATTAATCGAGCAAATTTTTTTACTGAAATATAGTGCGTTCAATTCTCTACAAAATATGTATTGACTGTTTTATTGCAAAATTCAAAGATGGAAAATGAGATGAGAAATCTTAGGAAGTATAAAAATACAGAAAAAATAATATATTTTCTCATAGAGAGCTACATTTTTTCAAATAGTTTCACAAGCATGAGAGCACGGTTTGAGTATACTTTGTGTAGTTCAAGTGTGCTCTCTCTCTCTCTCTCATAGCATACAACAAAATGTTCTCGAATTGAGTGCAATTATCGGACACAACGATTGACTTCTCAGAAACGGGGTGAAAACAGCAAATGATTTCGGTGCATGCGTGATAACCAAGGAACTTCGCAAAATCCTGATCAAAAATCATCATTTTTAGAAAATTTTCAAGAAAAATTCATTACACTTACGCCCTCAGTTCTAACTGTAAAAAAATTTTAATCATAGGTGGATGATAGAGCTTTCTAACGTCTACACGATAGCTACTTCAGTTTTGTTTCTCCCACAAACGTTTAACGAATAAAACTTAAAAGGCGTTTAACTTATTTTTTTGGAATATTCGTACTTCATAAGATTTCTCATCTCATTTTCCATCTTTGAATTTTGTAATAAAACAGTCAATACATATTTTGTAGAGAATTGAACGCGATATATTTTCGTAAACAAATTTGCTTCATTAATTATAAGAAAGAGAAGAAAAATTGAAAATACTAACATCATAATTTTTTTTGGGCCACCCGTTATATAAAAATAAACAAGCAAAACACACAGAGATTCTGAGCGAAAATATTGGAAGTTTTTCTCATTGTTTTCGGCTACGAGCCTACCATTACACTACGTCTTATGCTAATACTTTTTGTGCTCTTCACTGCAGATCTGACACATTGTCACTTGTTGCTCCGATCTAGTTCACCCATTTCTCAATGTGTACATAAAGAAAAGTCAAGCAAATAACGCACATTACGAAAAACTTCTTTATATACAAAGAAGAGAAGTACATAAAACATCATCAATTTATTTTTGACTTCAAAGCTACAATGAAGTAGAATATCGTCGTACAAAAATAGCTGTCTAGCTATATTTCAAACTATTAATCACAAAAACTATATATATTCATACAAATACGAGATAGACTTAAAACTGACTAGAAAGCATAATTATTGATGTATATGCTAGTTTATGTTAAAAAAATTAACAGCAGTGATGGTCTAAGTTATACAAAAGAAATCACACACGTCGCCTTGTAGTTATATATGTACTGAAGAAAAAAATTACAATCTATCTTGTTCTTGAGTTTGTTGTTGTTGTTTCGTAGCATAATGAAATTTTCCTATTTCACTTGTTTGTTGTGCATATAACATAGCTAATTTTTCAATAAATATTTTAATCGAATATGATAATAAATAAATAAGACCATATTTTAATGTTAAAAATCCTAGACCCTTATAGAAACCTTTGGATCCTTCTAATTCTTGGATTGTTCGTGCACAATCCCAAAATCCTATATATCTTGTATTTATCGCAATACATCCTGTGCCTGTTTCCAAATTGTCAATAATTGTTCTTGTACCTTGTACAAATAATCTATTCATGACAGTTTCAAATGGATATAAAATAATTTGTGCAGTACATACTGATAAAATACTTGATTCTATTTTTAAATAAGAATTTTCAACCATTGATGGTATAGATTCAATTATTTCATACTCAATGTCGTCTATATTTTCAATTTCTTCAATTTGTTTCAAACGATTATGTTGTTGTTGGTGTAGTTGTTGTTTTGTTCTGAATGTTGATAATGTTTGTATGAATGTATTATAAAAAGTGCATTGCAACGAATAACGTAATACAAAATATGGTACACCAATGGATAATATTTGCCATAGTGGTAGAGCTCTCGCATTTAAACCAATTTTCAAACCCATTAAACGTCGAAATGGTTCAATGAATATATCCACGGGTGAATATGAGTAAACAGTTAAATCACTTTGAACGGAACGTATTAAATGGACAGAATAAATCGGTACCACTAAAATAATTGAACTTAACGTTTTCCATAAAAGATGTTTTAACAATTCAATATTGAATATTTTTATAGATGTTTCTTGTTTAATTGGAGCTGTTTGATCGATTATATTTTCTGTTATCGATGTCATTGTATTCAAAATTAATGAACTAAAACATCCTTAAAACAAAAAACAAAGAATTCAGTTGAACATCGTCAAACATTCATTCTCCTACAGATCGATGGAAAACGAGAATCTTCACGAAGGGAAGCTCTGTGAGAAAGTCTTTTTTTTTTTGTCACTATAGTCAGTATACAAGACAGATTCACACTTACCTTTCCATAAACACCCAACACCTTGATGATATTTAATTTTATATAGCGTACCAATAGCCGTGAACACAGTTAAATGATAACGAGTCGATTCTGACTGAATTTGAGATTGACGCTTTACAGTTTCAATCGAATAACACAGAACGTTTTCTAACAGCCATCTACTCACGTTTAACGTTAAATCAATATTATGTTCTAAATGTCGATAACGTCGGTGAAAATAATTATCGATTTGTTCGGATGAAGATTGGCTAGATAATGAATTTGACATAAATGTCGTTTTTATAGGGCTAAATAAAGATGATTTTAATGTTGAGGTAGGAGAAGATGAGGAAAGAAACGATGGAGGGATTGTTGGTTTTAGAAATGTCAATGAATGCCGCGATGGTGAGAGATTGGTGAAAGTTGATAATGCGGAAGCAGATTGTGATGGAGAGTGTAATTGTTGTTCGATATCATGTGATAGTCGGGGTTTTGGTGACTCCGAAGACAAAGGGTCAATTGTATTGCGCTTTCTTGCCAGAGATGAAGGAGTTCTCCGTAGTCCCATAACAACGTCAGGATACAAACTCATGATAATATATTTTTGACTTTTGATGCTAATATTATAATGATCTGAAACAGACAAAAAAATGTCAATAAATAAAAGGATTCGAGCGTTTCTAAATATAGGTAACTAGCTAAACAGTTCAGTAATAGTACGTCTGATTGATCGGAAGTTTCGCACACCGTTTCTGATCAAAATTAAAATTTTAATCAAATTAGCAATCCTTTTTGAATAATCAATACAAGTTTCTAGGTATGCTTCCCCTACTCACTGGATAATTTGACAAAAAAGCGCTTCTGCATGTTTGTAGTAAGATAAGTAGGCTTGAATCTCCACTAATTTTTACTCTAGCCTTCCTTAGTTTTGAAAATTAAAACATCAATGGTGTCAAACATGCCGATAGTTCATCTGAGTCAATAATAATCGACGAACGTTTTCTGGTCATTTCGAATCTTTTTTGTGATTTACAAGTAGAGCGTTGCAGTAATAGAGCTGTTCGTTAACTGCTATATGACCACAAGACCAACTTGATGGAAAAAATACAAACCTTTTTGAAGAATTCTCAGAGTAGGAATAAATCAACACAATACTTGCAGGATAGATAAAACAACGTAATATGTCGGGTACCAGTCTGCCATTCGATACATCAACAAAAGCAGTAAAAAGCAACCACGAGTATATAAAAGGCCACGAACAATATTAAACCATTAAATACTCAAATATTTGTGAGAAAAACAACCAAATGCATAGTGAAAACAAGTGCAACTGACATTAGCTGAACAAGTAAAACAACAAATCGACGAAGAACTCTAGTGTCAGTGCGCTTTTACCCACAAGATAAGAAATAATAATCTAAAGAAAACAGACAATATCAACGTTTATAGATGAGTTTGTTAAATCAAATTGAATCCGTTCTATGAATGCTCGATGGATAGAAAACGGTCAACGAATGACAAACGTCAAAAAGACGCGAATAAAGCGTTTTTTTTTATAGAAACAAACCAATACCAACAATAAGCAAATGATAGTTCTGTTATGAATAAAGACAGTGATTCGGTATTGATTAATGTATCTACAATTTTAATTCTGAACATACAGATCGTATTAATTGAAGATATGTGATCTTTTTTCTTAGAGAAATAAATCCACTCAGTCCATTTGGAAACGATGTTCTACAGATTTCGAATCGAAGTAAAATTTTTTTAAAACCACAAAATACTCGGAAACGCGTCCCAAACTGTGATTCAACACAAGAGAATTATCCCTCATCACTTTCATCACGTAGTTATGTATTGACAAAACGAATTTAGAGAGAACAGTGACATTATTACCATTACGTTCAACACAAACGTATAGCAATTATTCTATAAGAAAATTATTAAGTCATTATTAACGACAACCATAGTACATCGTCATTTGTTGACCGTTTTCTATTCATTGAGCATTCATAGAACGGATTCAATTTGATTTAACAAACTCATCTATAAACATAAATCTCTTGTCTATTTTCTTCAGATTATTGTTTCTTATCTTGTGGGTAAAAGTGTACGGATACTAGAGTTCTTCGTTGATTTGTTGTTTTACTTGTTTGGATAATGTCAGTTGCACCTTTTTTCATGATGCATTTGGCTGTTTTTTAAGGTTATGCGGTGACGGAAATGCGGGATATTCAATTCTTGAGGATGTGATATCTAAAGCATTTGCTTCATTTCAAACCATAACGAAAAGCCTAGTATGAAAAAATATAAGATTTTACAAAACATGATTATTGTTTGAATTAAACAAACACAAACAATACAAACAGATTCAACAACAAAAAAACCAAAAAGCTGAACATAAAACACAACATACTTTTTTACATCTTTGAAAAAAAGAGACACCACATATTGCCACATAACGAAAGTGATAAGCAAGCCTCTTTCTCACACGTGGTTAGAACGCACAGGTGTGAACTTGCATGATGCATAAAAACAACAATAACAACAACAACACACTAAAAAGAAAAACATTGAATTCACCAATAAAATTAATAATGTAAATTATTGAAAAAAAATTAGAAAAGATAGTCAAAAATAATTTCATTTAAGATAGATAGAGAGAGTCAGCCTTGATTAGCACTCTCATAAAGTTTTATTGGACAAATTCACACATATAGACCATTTTGCAATGATAAAATCGCAAGTTCTGGAACTGGGATTAACTAATGAAATTAATCAGATTTGCTATACTACTAAAAAAAGACATCCCACCTAGATGTTTACGAATTGATCGTTGATTCGATATGTGCTCGAGACTGTCGACGGGTCGTATTATAATCACATTCATTTAATATTGATGTATTTACTTGTTGTGTTGTTTGTACATCAGATATTTGGAATATGTTTGTTATTTGTTCTTCACTCCAACATTGCTGAAATTTTAAATGATGTTGAAATATTCTGAGATGTCGTTTTTGACGATTTGTATAATTTGACAGACGACGTTTAAAACTATCTTCCAAATTCGCATGTTTCGATGATATATGTAAACGCATGCATTCCGTTGACGTTGAAACATACCAATCTTCTTCACCACATACATGACATTTTGAAAAAACATTACTTGATACCCAGCCTTGAGCAATATCTAATGATGTTGAACGTAATGGTTTCGGATTTATGGATATATCTGAATAGTCATCGGTATTTTTAATGGAAAATTGTTCCATACATGTTTGTGACGTTTTTCTCGTTTGTTGTTGTTGTTGCTTAAGTGGACGGTTTAGACGTGTTCGATCTATTGTTGTTTTCGCTATTGTCTTGAGCATTTCATTTGTTTTAGTTTTTTGCCTGTCTCTAATGTGATTTTCATCTTTTTCGTTGTTAAATGTATTTTGATTGACGGTAAACTCATTGTTGCTTGGCTTATTGATACTTAACAATTGAGGAACGATGGTGGCGCTTAGGCCATGTGTAGTTGCAGATGAAACAATTCGAAGTTTGGGAATTGGTTCTCTATTGACAGTAGTAGTGGTAGAAACGTCGGTCAATGTTTGAAGAATTAGGGGAGAAAGGGGTGTCGGCGATGACGTTACGATATTTTTATATTCTGAGATAGAAAATAAGCCGTGTTCTGATGACGACATTTGATTTGTTGTGATTTCCACTCGTCTGTAATGGAAAAAATCAAGATTCATTTTAGATTAATAAAATCTATTATACTCACTCTTTTGCCTGTTCTTCCAGTGAGATTATTTTGCAATCAGGTGAATTTGACTGATTTGTCGACTCAATTAATTGTTCTTGCTCATTATTGTTATTTATTGTTGAAGATGCAGATTGCAGCGGTATCGATTTATCATAATAAAATTTTCCAGATGGTGAGCGGCGAATAGTTAATGGTAGCATTGTAGTTGTTGAAGTTTGATTGAGTTTTGATGGTGATATATCCTTCTTTTCACGACGTTGTTTTTGCTCAATAAGAGCCGCTGCTTTCGGTGCTAGTCGACGCTGTCTAATACCACGTCGAGAACTGGAAGAGAGTATGGACGCATGTGTTTTATTTAAATAATATTCACGTGATGCACCTGATGATCTTGATGAAGAATTAATTGATGAACTGTTTGAACTTGACGAATGAGCTGGTGATGTTGAGCGGCTATTTCTTCTAATATTAAGAAAATTACCATTCATTTTCTATAAAAAAATGAACTTAAATTAACAACAATTTTTTTATATTTTTATAGTAGCTTCAAGACAATCTCATACAACATACTTTCTTTTCACAACGAGAAAAATCTAAAAATATTTATTATATAAGAAGTGCTACGATTTACTTGATGATCGTTCATTGATGTCAATGACGCTGTTGTTGAATGTTTTTGTTTTTCTTGATGATTATTGTTGTTTGATAATATTTGTGAATTATAGCGCCTAATTTTAAGTGGTGGGACAAATAAGCCGTCGTTGTTTGTGCTTGATGCTATATGATCAGTATCATTGTTCTTAATCAAGTAATTTCGTTTTACATTATCATCAGTCTCCGTAGAAGAGTGACTGCATAAATATTGCCGTAATACATCGAATAAATTTTGTTGTCGACATAGACGATTATTATCCTGTGTATTACTAATGACTAGTTGAAATTCTTGACTAGCAATCAAATTTAGTAATTGAAAATTGTTTTCTAATGCGTCAGAATATTTTTCTAAAAAGTAACGATACGACTTATCTACATAATTGTTGTCGCTATTATCATCATTCTCTTGTTGCTGTTCGATGTAACGTTTTTCGTACGACACAAATGTGGAAAATAATGGGTCAAATAAAAGTGGATAAATATTTGCCGATTGTCGATGTGAGTAACGAGGCACATAACGTTCATGATAGGATAAACGTTGAAACTTGATCGGTTTACTACACAAGGCGATATTTGGCTGATACCGTTGATGTTTTCGCTTTTTCATATTAATATTATTACTATCACTATTGTAATAATTATTAACAGAACTGCTGTTATTGTTGTTATTATTGTAAAACATTGCCGTTGATGTTTCTGTAAAACTTTTCTTCAATACTGCTTTTTCAACACTTTTATAAAACAATTTACGTTCATAACGTGAATATTTATATACATGTATCGAGGTTTTACTATTTATTGATACGTTGTTGTACAAACGTAAAGTGATGGGTTCTGTGGTTATGTTAGAAATTATTGTATTATCCACGTATGAATCGTAAATTGGTTCATCAGTAGTATTGTTTAGCACAATAGATGATGGTTGATGATGATTACGTGTGTTAAGTAAACGACGACTATAGCTAGAGGAAAATGGAATAGAGAAGTAGGATGAGTCTTCATCGTTTGTTGTCAGATTATTGGCTATTTGATGTTGTTCATTATTGTTTTGATTTTCTTTTGACAATAAGACGCATAACGCGTTATTAACATCCATTCGAAAATGGCTATCAACATCAATTATGATATCTTGATTGTGCGATGATTGGTGTTGTTGTGAATCATTTAGATCACGATGTCGCTTCAGTTTGAGTACTGAAGCAGGAAAAAAAAGGAAATAAACGCAATATAGATCTTACACGTTGACTGTACGTACGGCTTATAATTGCTAATCTCGTATAATCAATATCAACACTCAGAGAATCATCCAGTATTGCTAATGATTGATCTGATATAGTTGAATCATTTTTTGTTTTCTTACCAGAATGATCATCTTTCAATAATGTCTGAATTACCGATGATGACTTTTTACTACAACTTTGAAAATGTTGCACTAATGCGGATTTTTGTTGAAATTCATCAAAACAGAAATGACAAACAAATATTTGTTGTAGTAAACCTAAAAATAGCACATCAAATGAAATAGAAGTTATATTGTCCTATGAATCGAACACACCTAACTGTGTGCAATTAATGTTTGCCATATTTAGAATATAATAGCATAAAGCCTATAGGAGATACAAACATAACACCGGATTTTTCTGTTTTTAACAATCTAAAACGTAATGAATTTACACAATTTGTTTTACCTGTGCACTATCGAAAATAAAGAGAACAGACTGGAGAAGGACTATGATACAGAAAAAATCGTCAAAACTATGATAATAAAAAATAACAACCGCACAAGTAAAATAGAATACGGCGATCAATAATGCGAAGCATAAAATTGATTAAATATTATCGAGCTAATATAATTTTCCTTTGCTTTTATATTTCGGTGAATAGAGTAAACGCATTTGTATGAAACAGGTTATTTTTAAGAATTTTATCTTTTCTAAATAATGTATGTGCTTATTCGACTTATGTCAATGATTGCTAAAGAAAAAAGAATTTCTCATTGATAGATGGTGGTGGTGACATTTACAAGAAACTCCACGACCAAGAACACTAGTCTATTCTGAATGTGAATGTTAGACATGAAGCTAGAAGAGAAGCAGCAAACGTGCAACGTCACATGTTCTAGATATTAAAAAAGCAGTTGCACTCAAAGAGACCACTTGAGCAAGAATCTGTTGCTTTTAGACGTCACTTTTGATGATAGTATGGATTGATGTCTTTGTTGTTGCTTCTGCATTGACTATCGATTTTAAGATAAATTTTCTCTAAATAGAATACAAACGTATTTGATTCGAAATGTTTTTAATTTAACTATGGGAAGTAATTCTATAGTTTCTAATAATGTTTGTCACTTCATATGTTCACGATTTTATCCTCTTGAAAACATTTTAATGTTTATGAATAACATTGTACACCATACAATTTCTAAAGTACGAGATGCTTCAGCTGATTTTCGACGACATAACGAAAGAAAATCTTTTTGAATTTTGCACGTAATAGATTGCAATTTCTTCACTTGAGAATAGTTAACAAAGTATGAGTCTCATTTTTTTTGTAAGAAAAAGGTTTGTCGTCTTTTGACTGGTAAGACCTTGGAACGAGAAAAAATCCAACCAAGTTTCAATGACAAACGTTTCCGTCATATGGGTAAATCCCCGAAGTCATCTAAAACAATACTTCTGTTTTTTTTTGAACTCTTTATTGGCATAAAATAAACCAATCACAACGAAAAAGTGGATAATTAGTGGTTTAAATTTAAAATTTAGAGATGGCCGTAGATTCCTAAAAGAAAAATGGCCCGTATGTGGCTATATTTTAGTGGATATGAAACGAAACTACCTGACGTTTCAGTTCTCAACAATAGCTTCATACCGATAGTAACGCTTGAATACACACATGCGAAGATTCTTTCATAGGTTCTTATAAATATAAATATAAATATAAATGAATGTAGTATACTTTTGTCACGGTTGCCAATGCCAACCCTTCTGATTTTAAGATTTTTTCTAATTAATGATTTGCAACTTTTCCATTCCCAGCATTTTTTATATAACTTTGGCAAGGTGGGGGAAGTTTATTGAGCAACTCAAAAAAATTTTCTGAGCAGATTTTTTCTCAAAAAATTTAGCTAATAACCAAAAAAAAAAAGTCAACTTTTCTGAATGAGTAAATTTTTTTCTCAAGTGAGTGATTCATTTCAAACAAGGTGGAGAAATTCCCCCACCTAATCGAAAACACTGTCCATTCCTTTTATTTTTACTAGAGAGTATAAAAAGATGCTTTTTCCAACAAGTGGTTCTATGTGCTCAGTGGCAACTACTCAGCAGCATATAAAAAAAATTAGTTAATTTAAGCTTAAATTACATAATAAAGCTAAATATAAAAAAGTTTCTTTACATGGACATCTGGAGTATAATACGGCTTTTCATCGCCTTTGTTGGAGTTAGACGTTTTTCTTAGAATACTTAGGAGTAAAGACATATAACAATGGAGCCCTAATCATTTTCATCTGGTTTAAAAATTTCCAGACATTTTAAGGTGTTTGCATTGGCATGTAGAAAAATACTCGATCTATTATCATGTCCAATTGCACGTCTTTACGACCAAAATTTAAAAACTGTCCCGTTTGGCGCTAACGCACTTTATTTTGAACGATTACTGTAGGTTTATTGCAGTTACTCATCTCGCCAAAATCGACAAGAAATTTCTGATTAATTGTGAGACGAATAAAATGATTACTAAAATAATTAATTTAAATAAAAAAAAAAATAATTTAAAATAAAGATGAACTAAAATAATTACTGCAATTTTGTATTGAGAAACCTATTCAGAATTGTAGTTATGAGCATTAGTCATTATTTTGAACTAATCTTAATTATTTCAGAATGTGGAAAGTGTAAAACCCCATTTTAGTGTTCCAAAACTTAAACTATCACAAAATATAAAACTAGTTTTTCGCGAATATGTGAAATTCGTCTTTTCACCTGTTATTTCGCCAAATTACTAAAGTCTTTTTTCGTAACTTCTTGGAGCCTGCTATTCTTCTGTATACATATATCATATTGTACTTTTGCTTCAAAAATGATAAAGTACAAGATAAGGTGCCGGAAATTGGAAAATTTCTTTGTATTTTTTATACATGGTTGGAGAGAGTGCGTCGAGTCGATTCAAAATAATGTTTGAAAAAATTATTTTCATGTCAAAAAATTGAAAATAGTTTGAAGGGTCTAAATTTTCGAAAAGCTCAAAGTTTTTTCTTTCTTGTTCTTTGAACATTTTGAAAGTATTTTTTTTTTGAGATTCAGCATTTAAAACTGAGTATGAGAATGATGTTTAATCGAGGTTGAAGTCAATGGTCTATCCAATATGGGCGTCTTGGGCTCGCTGTTTAAAAAGTTCATAAACATTTTGAAAATCTATCTAGTTTTTGTTGTGAAGAGATGAAGTCAAGATTTTCACTTCATGAGATCCGCCATGAAACGAGCTTTACAAGTATAAACCACTATCTATTCTTAATTTTGCTTCGCCACTGAGAAAACAATTTTTCAGACATTATTTGGAATCGGCTCGACACGCTCTCCATGTATTAAAAAAGCAAAAATAAAAACCTACTGAATTTTCCAATTTTCAACACCTAAATTATTCGAAACGAAGTACTTCGTTTGTGTTTTCAAAACACATCATCTCAAGCTCTTGATTTATTTTATTTAATATTTTATTATTTTTATCTTGATCTATTTTTTTAATATATTAACCGCAAAATTTTTATCGTATCAAGATTCTAAGAAGCGCACACATTTGAAAGCAGTGCTAACATTTTAATATATTTTTCTTTCCAGATGTCTGCAACGCACGAGTATTCGTTGCATTACTTGATTAATGAGCTAATGAAAACATTAAAGTAAGTGTAAACGTGTTTTGATAAAGCTTGGTGTTTCATATTATATTTTAAAGTGTGTCAAAAAGTAACTCTATTGGTCCTGAGTTGATTGTTGAACTATTAGCAAAGCATAAAGGACGGAATATTTATCCATCGGTTAGTTATATAAATTGAATTTTCATCGTTTTCAGTTACAACTAAGAAATAAATTGCTTTTCATTTTAGTCTGAAATCGAAGATGCAAAACGAAAACTGTTGAACAATAGTTCTACACCAAAAGAATTCAATGAACTCTATGATGACTTAAAAGCACGCCAGTAACTATATATGAACTATCTCTGTGTGAATAACTGATTTTTTTTTCTACTATAGCGTTCAAGATTTGGACAATACATTGATTATTTTATCTCAAATAGCAGATAATCAAGAGGTAAAGTCTTCTGACAAACTATTACGTTTTATAGACGAAACATACGCTTAAAATCTCAGAGATTTATGCAGCTTGTGTTATATTTATGTTTTAGGTGCAAGAATTAATAAAACCAAATAGTGGCTCAACTTTCCCCACGAGTCGTTCAATGTCAATCCTTACTCCGCAACGATTTCATAATGATACTCCAGGACAACATACTTTCGTTCCTTCAATGAATACGACACGTCGAACGGATACAATATTATCTAGTCCAAGTTCAACATTCAAACATTCTCCTGGTGTACTTGCTGAAGTAATTTTTCGTTGAATATTCTAGAGCTCAACTTTATAGTTTATTTATATTTTAGTTGAAAGAAAATTTACTGCGTCCGTCGTCAACTCAACCATCTCTTAGCATACCATCAGAAATTTATCAGAAATTTCATAAAGAAAATATCGACACACGAAGACGAGGTACAGTTTGCGTTTTCTGTATTAATAATTGATCTCTGACGCAAATTATCCTCAGGAGGGATTTTATTATTAATTTCTCCCTTATGTCTTTAGGTGATTACCCTCAACGACCACCTTGGTTTACTGAACGACTTGGTTTAGTTTGGGATTTTTATCCAACACCTCAAAAATTTGAACCGGTAAACTATATCAGAATATTTGTATTAAAGGCTTAGTTCTACTATGACACATGTTTTTATTTTATAGGACGTTGCTCTTGGTCGTTCAACTATAGTCGAACAAGAAAAGATTATTGTCGAAGATTTATTATTGTGTATGTTGGTAAGTATCAACTAAAAAGTCTTCGTCAAAATTAAAAGAAGCTTCTCAGTAGACAAACAAGAAGAATACTTTTGGACAGTGTACAGCAGATAAAAATTTGTACAAGTTCCTTCTCCCATCTCGGCTCGGTTACAAAATTTGATTGCTGGAGTGTGACTATGTTATGCTTTTTTAATATCTTGCGCTGCTCGTATATTCCCAGAACATCCGATAACACAGCTTAATCAAAACAGATCTGGAACTTACGTAGATCAATAGAGGACAGTCCACCGTATTGAAAGTCGAAGATTGTCGGTTTTCATATTGCAAGGATGACTCAACAAAGGTGGACAAGATACACCGCTTGCAGTGATTAGTTTTTCTTTTTTCATGAACACATCCGTATGGATCTGAGCTACCAAATGGTGAAATTATATGTCTCTATCTTTTTCCCTTCAAAAGTGATTCTAAAACTATCCACTATTTTATAACAGACAATAGTGTTCTTGTCAGGGCTGCCAGATGGTCCGCATTTTGCGGACAAATTGCACTTTCTGTAGTTTTTTCTGCAAAGTGTCCGCTGTCCGCAATTTGTCCGCTTTTCGAGGATTTTTTCTTTTTGTCCTTTTTCCTCCAATGAAGATTTTTACATTTTCTCATAAAAAATACTGAATGACCTATCAAAACAATGCTTTTGCAACTTTTATAAAACATGTGCACTGCTCTGATTTACTATCCGTCCCAAAATACAAGGCTATCGGAAAGACTTAAAAGGCATCATATATTGTTGATCAAGTCGAAAAAGCGGTCCAGCAGAACTCTGAGGCTTTGAGGTTTTTCAGAAGGTTTCTGGAAAACCTTTAACCAATGCCCAGCTGAAACCCACTTTTTCATTTTCGATTATGATTTTATGAACTGTTCTGAGCGACGATAGCTAGAAAGCTGGGACTTGTAGATTAACCAAGAGTTTTCAAATTTTGAAACAAGTTTCTGCTTACAAAAACATGTCTTAGGGTCTTAGCAACACGATGGTGAAAACCGCAGGTTGCTATCTATCAGTGTGATTGAGTTATTCCAAAAGCAACCGATAGCCTTGTATTTTGGGACGAATAGTAAATCAGAAATTTGTCCCGGCTGGCGCTAACAGAAAGATATTAGCTTATCTCAAGTGTTGCTGAAAGGGAATATGGAAAATAGTAAAATACTAAAACTTCATAGAAGCCAACTCGATCAGAAAATCTTAACCATTAAGTGCTGTCATAGGCGGGGATGTTTCGCATTAGATTTTATCCTGGCAGACATAACTCTTGAAATTTATGACGACTGATCAAAAACGCGCATCCACAAAAAGCCAATATCGATTCAAATTGGGAGTTAAATGATGTTTTGTACTTCTTTTGTGTTTCCTAAGTGGAACCATCGCAAAGCGCTAGAAAAAATGTTTTTTGATACCCTTTGCATTTGGTGAAAAATGCGTTTCCTCTTTTTTTCCGCATTTTCGACTTTTTATTCCGCTTTGTTGACCTAGCCATCTGACAACTCTGGTTCTAGTATATTGTTTTTAAATTGTCTCAGTTACTAGTTTTAATTTTTACTTTGTTCTTTCTATTTTAGGGCATTGAAGGAAAATTTATCAAAACTCCATCATTATCATTGACTGATAAACAAGCAGAAAGATCATTTCATATTGATCGTTCATTAGGTAAGCCACCGATACTTTTTTTAAACTCCTTATAATAGCTGTACGACGACGGATGATAGACTTTTCTTTCCTATTATTTTTTAGATCCAACTTTACGGGATTTGGCAAGACGAATGTTACCGTTATGTTCCAGTCATTCATTGATTGTTCGATTTATCGAAGGTAAAAGTGTACTGAGTATATCCTAGAGTGTACTTAACTCTTCATATTTTTTTGCTTTAGAGCGTATTCAGTTCAAATATGGCTTAGTTAATCATGCATTAGCAGGTGCACTTAGAGGAGTTTTAGAAGTAAGTGGAATAATTCTAAAAGAATTATCGAAAATGGACGAAAAGTTTTCGTTTTTTCTGTGTATCCAAAACATCTAGACTATGTAACTAACGTAATGATGATGTCTGTAAAACATACGTAAGTATATGAGAGGAGAAAGAAGATTGGTACTTAATGGTAATAACAAAACTTTTTGGTTTACAAAAATATCAGCTTATTTTTCTCACTTATATTTATGTACTTTAGTGCGATTAGAGTATGTTTTTCTATACTCGTACTATTTCTCTGCGGGTCAACCAACTATTATATCATTCCAAATATTTTTGCTTTTCTTCTTTAGCGATTTTACGTATTTGTTGGTCAATTAGAAACGCAACAGAATTTAGGAAATTTGACACTGCAAACATTATGGTTTCATACTGAGCCCGTCATGCACATTATGGAAGTTGTCGCAATAATTGTTCGAACAATCAATAAGGTATAGTAGTCATGGGTATGCATCTCGAAAGTCAAGAAATATTAGTTTGAAATGTTGATCTAGATAATTTTGGGCTCTTAGCGCTAATTGTTAGTGAGTCATAGTATTATTAAAACTTCTTTATTCTCTGAACCAGAAGTGTTCTTGTAGAGAAAAATGAATCGCATCTACTATCGAAAACAAAAACCATTGGCTGTGGATATTTTTTGAAGAGCTTGCCAACGTAAAGAGATAAAAATATGCGATTTTCACCAGTGTGTAGCGAAGATCTGACCGTATGATTTTATGGGAAAATAAAGGCGAAAATACCATCTGCAGATGGTGACAAGTCTTTGAAGAATAGATTACCACGGATTGACGTTCCATAGCGATTCCTATGTCTGAAACATACAATGATAGCCCTTTACAAATGTCCTTTACAAATTCGAGAAAGAAAAGGTCTCGATCTGTCATGGTTAGGTGGCGACCGAGTTTTACTTGAAGCCCTGGGACTATCTGACGCTTCCGTTTGGAAATCTCCACTACACATGAAAACATAGGTTTTCAATCATGCTCTATCACGTGGCAATGTTTGTTTTTAGAAGAAAACTCAGGAACATAGTGAAAACCTACAGTAAGTGAGATAACTCATTTTTGGACATCTTCACCGACTACACGCTGTTGAAAATTGCATATTTTTATCTCTTTACATTTAAAAGCTCTTTAAAAACATCTTCAACCAGTAGTTTTTGTTTTCGATCGTATTATAGACATTGATCTGATAATGTCATGTATTGTTTTAAACTATTCAGAATGTTCTCATAGATGTTCATCCATTTTTTGTTGGGTCTCCTAAACTGTGATGAAAACTTGTGTAAAAATCTAGTAAAATTTCAGAATATTTCTTGTAAATTTCATTTTGTGTTTGGAAATCAAAAACATTTCTTAGAAAAGAGAGAGCTTTTGGTCAACTTTCATCTTAGTACCTAGTATGGTTAGAGTTAGGACACTGAAACCATCTAGACGATTAGTATTCAGCATATGCGATACTTTTGCAAAACTTCAGGTCATAAGATCTTGTAACACTCGAGTTACAGGGGGAATAGTTTTATGAATGTATTATATTGAATACTATAGCTCACTTACTATATTTTTACATTTGTTATTTTCATTTAACAGGGTAACAATATCGGTCGTTCTGTACTTGATTTATTACATGAACAAACACAAAATTCATCGGGTTATAAACAGACCTACGATACTTGTTATTATTTAGCTAAATCGGCATTCAAACCTTATTTGACTATGTTAGAAACATGGATTTATAAAGGTATCATCCATGATCCGTATAATGAATTTATGGTTACAGAAAATAAAGATGTACAAAAAGAAAATTTAGAAAATGATTTTAACGATAAATATTGGGGTAAACGTTATGTTTTAAATCGTAATAATACGCCACGATTATTAGAATCGATGAGTGAAATGATATTGAATACTGGAAAATATTTGAATGCCATACGTGAAAGTGGTATTGATGATAAAACAAAAACAATGGAAGAACTGAAGTATACAACAAAAGAAAAAGATTTAGAAGAACCATTGGAAAAAGCATATCAATATGCATCCCAAATATTGTTAAATTTGGTATTAAATGAATATCATCTATTAGAACGATTTAAAACATTAAAACATTATTTTCTTATTGATCAAGGAGATTATATTGTTCAATTTATGGATATTGCTGAAGATGAATTGAATAAATCAGCATCAATTATAAATGCTGAAAAGATTGATGCCCTACTAGTTGTTGCATTAGGCACATCAATTGATCCATATAAAGATGATTTAAGAATTAAACTATTTAATTATGATTTAATATCAATGTTAGAAAAAGTTATTACAATTGATCGTGTTAGTGGCGGTGGTGGCAATAGTTCTCTATCTTCGTCTTCATCGTCTGTATCTTTATATGCTCAAGGAGATTTCGCATCAACACCAAAAACATCGGATCCAATTGAAATTAAATTAAGTGGTTTAGAATCGTTTAGTTTAGATTATGATGTCAAATGGCCAATATCGTTGATTATTAATCGATTTGTTCTTGTACGTTATCAAATGTTATTTCGTTATCTATTCTATGTTAAACATATTGAACGTTTATTATGTAATGTATGGAGATTTCATAAAAATGGTAGAAAATTAACAACAAGACAGCAACAAAAAACAACATCATCAACAACAGCGAGAAAAACAAATGTTGGAGATGCAGCTGCTTATCTTCGACATAAGATGCTCCATTTTGTACAAAATTTATTATACTATATGAGTTTTGAAGTGATTGAACCACATTGGCATACATTTCAAACAAATTTGAAAAAGGTAGTTAATAGCATAGTTTTGTGCAAAGAATAAGATTCTGTCTGATGCCGAATCATTCCGAAAAAACAGCTTCAGTAGTTGGCTGAAGAGGATCTACGAACGAGAAACTAAACACGTTCTGAAAGTTGTTGTTGTTTTTTGAGACTAACATCACATCGACATTTATTCATTTACTTAAGGTGACAAATATCGATGAATTACTCAAATATCATTTTTTATTTTTGGATAATTGTTTACGCGATTGTATGTTAACAAATGGCCATTTACTTCGTCTCATACATAAACTGATGGCTATTTGCGTTTTATTCGCTAATACAATGATGAAAGTCGATGAACCTATTCCTTTCTCGTCAACAACAACGACCAAAACTAATTTACCAACATCCGAAGAATCTCTGTTTGCAATGATCTATAATTTTAATGTATGTCTATTTTAGATTTGTAAACCAAATCTAATCTTGTGCTTTAAGATTAGAATTATTCTAGAGTTTTTAATGTGGCTAAGAAGATCAGAAAGTCAACACAAATGAGGGATCTGCATAAGGCCGATAATTGGCCCACTTTATTTTTTATCTAAAAATGATTCTATGAGTAGTAGAAAAGTATTATCAGTCGGTTTTAAGTAATTTCGCGCACTTTTGGTAACTAAAATCCGAGTAATTCTTCATAAATAGGGTGCCAATAGCCCATCCCCCAAAGATCAGCTATAGGTTACGTAAAAGGTGTTTTTCTCATGTTTCTTTCATGTAGACGACAAAGTAAACATATCATTGGATAGCCCCTAAAAGTCTCTACAGAATGTGTGTGACATAACAGTTAACAGCAGTGCTTTGATAGCAGGGGTGATTAGAATAATCCTACCTATACAATATAGTAGACAGTCCTCACTTGTGTGACCCTTTTTCTCCCAAAAAATAAAATATACATTTTTCTGTTATATATCATTTTGGAGCTCATGAAATTTGCTACAAACTGGCAAGTTCAGAATTTTAAGATCAGTGGAACCAGTCCTAGAAAATGGACCAGAAATAAACCAACTAGGGAAAAATGAGACATCCAGTTTTTACTATTTCTTACACAAGTAAAAAAATAAGTACATTTTGTGTCGTATACCATTTTAAAACTCGCCGAATTCCCTACAGATTAAGCTACGCATGATATCTTGGTCAGTAAGGTTTAGTCTCTGTAGTTTTAGGGGTGACATCAGTTTTGCTGATAGTTCCAAGACTGGTATTAGGTGACCTCGGATAACGTCTAAAGTAAATGGAAACATAGGTTATCTAATATACTGGATCTCGTGGAAATGCTTTTTTTCCAGGAAAAGGTGGGGAAACCTAGTGAAACTGAATTTTGAGGAAAATCCACCAATTCGGCTATAAATATACAAAAGTAAAATACTCCAATCTCACTCAAAACCCAATCACACCGCTTGGAACTCTCACGATATGATTAAAGGAATAGATTGAACAGTTAAAATACCAAAACAACTCTAAAATAATATATTCTTTCACGATGGATTTCTAGAAAACATCGGAAAATCCCAATAATAGGAAAATAGATTTTTTTACTTTTCTAACTCTATCGACATGAAAATCGAGAGAAAAGGAATATTTTCTGAGAGTTCCAAGCGGTTTGGTGGGGTTTTGAGTGAGATTAGAGTATTTTACTTTTGTATATTTATAGCTGAATTGGTGGATTTTCCTCAAAATTCAGTTTCACTTGTGAGTTCATGTTTCCATTTACTTTAGACGTTATCCGAGGTCACCTAATACCAGTCTTGGAACTATCAGCAAAACTGATATCACCCCTAAAACTACAGAGACTAAACCTTACTGATCAAGATATCATACGTAGCTTAATTTGTAGGGAATTCGACGAGTTTTAAAATGGTATACGACACAAAATGTACTTATTTTTGTTTACTAGTGTACCTCATTTCCTAAGTTTCTTATATGGCGCATAAGCCTAAGTTACTATTTCAAATGTACTTATTATATTACGAATCGAAATATCTATAGTTTATCGGCATTCTGAAGGCTGGAGTAGACGACAGTCTCGTCTGACAGTTGTAGAGACCTATCCCGAGGAATGAATTTAGAATTCTAGAATTGTGATTTCTATCGGAAATTTGCTTTGTCTTGCTAATCTTCGTAGCCACATTAGAAATTGTGGAATATTTGACGAGTCTTGACATTTATTTTTTAAAATCAGAATTTTCTAGAATTCAAAATTTGTCACAGATCTAATAAATCAGACCGGAAAAAAATGATCCGGATTGCACTGTAACAAACTTTCTAATTTTATATTTTAGTCAAATTTTACGAATCAGTTAACCGCTTTATTAGATGCTATATCAAGAGAAGATGGCGGTGTTCATGGACAAGAACATCGACTAACAAATATTATACACAGGTAATATTTTATTCTCGTTTTGAATATCAACTTTTTTATCGTTATGCTCTTTTCTATTCTATTATAGAATTAATTTCAATAATCAATATCATTTTCATGGTGGAATGTAAAGTGTCGAAGTGACTTCAAAACTTTTTTTTCAAATTGCTATTAGAATTGTATGTTTGTACGTACGAATATAGATATTTTTGTCAGATTTTATTATATGAAATACATATTCAAATTATTATTGTGTACTTCTATTTTATATAATTCGACAAAGTTTTTTTCTTACAAAAATAAATATTTAAATTTCACCCGATATGATTTTTGGTGATTTATATTATGTACAGTACAGAAATGAATGTGTTGAAATTTTTTTATGCGTAATGAATAAATGAGTACTAACTTCAACAGAAAAAAAAAGTACAAAGTTAGCATAGATGATCATCATCATTCATATTTTGACGAATGGAATATGAGCCAAATAAAAATGATTTATATAGGATGAGAGTCTGTCTCATCTGCGTTCACAAATTGCATACATGTCTGACTCATGAATGTCATAATTCTATTTTAAATAAGTTGTTATATGAAAGATTGGATCTCATTTTTTATGTAAATCATTTCTCCAACAATGAAAAAAAATACAAAAAATAGTGAAAATATTCAAGAATGTGATCAGATTGATAGATGAAATTTGAATTGGCGTATACTTCTATTAAGATTAGTCTCTCTTAAGATTCATTGAAGGGCAATAAGTTTTATAGTACAACGAGAGAAAATATATTGATCAAGACCTTTGTTTTATCATTTGTTTGATTATAATTCGATCTATTTTTTTTCCTTCTTCATATATATTTTGGTCATCATAAACACATTCTGTGACAACATAGTCTATTACGTTTTACAAACTGTCAAACTTTTTCTACAATAAAAACAAAACAACAAAAATATACACTTACATACATACAAACAGGTCTATGTGCAAACAAAAAATATCATCATACAGAATTTGTCATCATCATCATCATCATTAAAAATAAATAGTTTATAGATCATCATGAACATAAATAAAAATAAAAATTCACTGTTTTTTTTTTCATGGCACATAACTAGATAGTAAGCAAAAAATTACGATGATGTGTTTATTATTATATAAGTAAGTATATAACTGGAATCTTCTTTCTCGAATGTAAAATAACAAAAATTATCACTCAGATGATATAAAAAAGAAAGAAAATCAGAACTCATGTACTCTCATGTTCACCATCCGCTTTGATTGTATTTTAACAAAAAATTACGACACCTTAAAGGATAGAAGATCAGACTCTCTTTTAAAACGAAACAAACAAATAGAAATTGGTTGATTTCACTGGTTTTAACATACTCACAAAAACAAATTAAATTTGTTTTATTCTAGCCTACAGAAAAATAAATAAATAGATAGATATTTCTCGCATACATAGTATAAAAAACAAAATACAACAACCAACGCTCATTTTGTTCTGCCAGCAGACTTTCCCCCGCATGCGCCTATATTTTTCTATGACTTAGAAAAGGGATCTCATAAAGAGAAGAAACTCCAATAAATATAACGGAAATAAACGGAATGCTAGATCATCGAGCGATAAGAGAAAGAAGTTCCTCAGTAAAAACTACAAAAAATATAGACATTTTATGTACAAACAAATAAATATGTATATGTACATAATTACAACTCAGCTTATCTGTTATCTGAATTTGAGGCTCGAATATATCGCATTGCTTCTAGGAGGGATATGTGCACCTACATACGTCGAAAGGGTCTATATGATACCAAAATAAAATACATCTGGAATAAAATAAATCATCTCATGAGAAGGCAAATCTACTTTGTCAGACTAAAACACAAATATATATACTAAAAAGATGCAAATTTGCAAGAATAACAAGTTTAAAAAACATGGTCTACCCTAACATATGAGAGTAACTTCAATGAGAAACTATGGCTCGAAAGAGAAGAAACGTTACACCGGAAATTCATCCAACAATAAATATCACCGGAGGTGTGTATTATCAACTCAAACTGCATCTCCATTATGTCTTCAAAACGAACTATTCTGCTATTGCTATTGTTCTTGGCTGAATAAAGAAAAGAGATAGAGAAATAGAGAGAGAGAGAGAGAGAGAGAGAGAGAGAGAGAGAGAGAGATACTATTATACTGCAATAATAACTAGACTATTGAATAAGAAAAATGAAAAAAAAATCACCGGTTTGGACTGTGATGACTAACTTAATTTAATGTTTTGTTTTATGTCCAATAATTAATTCTCGTTGTTGATGAGGATGAGGATAATTAAGTATTGGAACAAATGATGTTTGATGAGGATTCATTGTAAATTGAGGTGTAGGTGTTGGAGGTGTTGTTGACAATGGAGGTGTTACCACTGAACTATTTGTTAATTGATTGTTGTATGATCGTCGATTAGGATGCATTGGTTGTTTCATTTGTATACCAGCATATTTTTGAACGGCTAAAGCTTTATATAAGCGATTTAGTTTATAATAGTATGGGAAACTTTCAACGTAACCACAATAACCAGAATCTGTACTATCACTGGATGCTGTACTGTGATGCGAATGCGGTGTGTCTGAACGTTCGACCTCTGTTGGACTACCATAAGATGGAGAGGATGTATCAATATTTGTCATTTGTGTTGGTACAGCTATTGGCATCGATGAATATGTATAATTTCCACCATTATATTGAACTTGATTTGGCGAAAGATATGAATGTGAAGGTTGTTGATTAATTTGTGAGTGATACGTGGCTGTGGTTGTTTGCGGTGATAGAGTTCTGGGTGGTGTAAATAGTGGTGGATTGTGATACATTGTTGGCATTGTATACGGTGAGGATGTACGTTGTGGTGTTGATGAACCAGAACATGGTTGAGATGAATCAGACACAGACGAAGACGACGATGAAGATGACGTATGTTGTTGATTATTATTTGTTGTTACCGTTGTAGTAGTAACATTTAGCATTGTCGCTATGTCACTATTAAATAGTGTATCGAGATCATGTCGAACTAATTCATTGCCTTCATTATCGAATCGAGCAACCAACATTTGTTGTCCGTTCTTCAAATATGGATGGTTACCAATTCTATAAATATAATAAAAAAGAAAATTTAGTGATTTGTTTGTCAAGCGAGATATTCCAAAAGTAAATTTATCTTAATATCGCTATAGAAAACAACAAAAGGTTTCTGTTCGAAGAAATAGACTACGGATGTATCTAACTGGAAATTTTATAGATATTATATCGAACGTACTATAAGGAATTTCAAGTCTGGTTAAAAGTTTTCCAGCAAGAATCTTGAATTTCAATGGCACAGTTAATTCTAAAAATTTTCAAAAATTCAACTATATTTAAAAAGTTTGATTTATAAAGTTCAAAGTCTCGCTTTGTTTTAGTTTTTTAGTGTGAGTTAGAATATAAGAAATCATATTTTACTTCCTAGAATATGTCGAATCTCATAATATTGTCAATGGCGGTAAACGAGCAATTTTTCTTTCATTTATCATTCGTTTAACTGTGTTCTGTAACTTTTTCATTTACAAAACGTTTAACCTTTAAGTTAGAACTTTCCGACAGTTGACTTTGGATCGCTTAGTAGTGTAAACTTGACCGGGAGGCAGTATTTTTAGCAAGAAAAATATGTTGCGAATATCTAAACTTGTTAATTTCTGATTTTTGAGAAGTCACCCAAATGCTCTTTTTATTCAATTTTTTATGATGAGCTACCTTTTTTTGCAAAAAAGCAGATTTTTAAACGTTGTATATGATAAAACGTCGGTTTGCCCTAGATTCAACACTTAGTTTTCGGTTCGAATTCTGAACAGATTCTCTATATTTGCGATAAAGTACACATGGTTACATTCGCTTATTCATATACATATTTCTGCCACGTAGCAATGCATCAGCTTGTAGTCATCGGGACCACGTATGTATCTTACGCAAGCTGCGTGATACATATTGTATTTTTTTGAAACAGAAAAACAAATGACATGGAAACGCGCATGATACTAGCAACGCATTGTGATCCTACTCTCGTAAGTATTATTACGTCGATAAAACAGTAATTGCGAAATACCTTCTGTATGACAGAACAGAAAGAAATACGCATAGAATAAGAAACAAAGAAAAAAATTTGTTGTGTCATCGTATTTTTCCTTTCTTTAATGACGTCATGGCTTTGCCGTTTTCTATTACTGTAGTTTTTCTACTAATATAGCAAAAAAACCTACGCAAAAGAAAAAGATCTTTATGCGTCTCACGTGCTACATCATTTGTTGTAAATGTACTCACATTTACATAATTTTGCCAAATACGCAATAGATTTCAGATTTGCACCCAAATTGAACCTTTTTCTATAGCTATTCCCTAGTCACTCTCTCATACAAACTCACTGTTTAATCAAATGACTTCACCTACCTGATTGTTACTTCTCTTGGATCTATCCATATTGTGATATCATGTTGAATACCAAGTAAAGCGGGCATAAACGCAGCTTTTTCACATGCTTTTGCAATAATCGGATCACATTCACTGTCTTTTTGAAATATTAGTGAACGAAATGCTTGTCCACGAACTGGCTTTTCTAAAAAACAACAACAACAACAATAATTAAATTATATAAAATTTAGTTAAACAACCCCGTACATGATGACGGTCATGAACTTACCGATATACCAATGTCCTTGATATTTTTCTAATAACGATTGTTCAAGATTTGTTCGAAATACATTCAAATTCGTTTCTTTAACTTTACCAAAACGTTGTACGTAAGAAACGATAAGATCAAGAGCAGCATTTATTTCTTGTTTCATGGTTTTTATGTTCAAAGAGTTTTAAAAAAATATATTGTACGATCTACCAGGCAGTATTTATCGTAGATTGTGTAAAGTGTACTGAGAAATATCGAATATGTCTTTACATATATATATATATATATATATCAAACGATATACTATATTGGACTAAAAAAAGGTTTCTTTTTTTCTTGTTGCTCTTTTTTTCTCAAAAAACTAGAAAAATTTATATGTATAACATAGAGTATTACAAAGGTAACTATATAAAGAAAATTAATCAGTTCAGGGAAGAAGAAAAAATGAGAGAGAAAGGGAGAAAGAGAGAAAAGCAAGAGAAACGTTTATTCTAGAATGAAAAAAAAGTTGAGAAAAAAATTAAGTTTTCTATTCTTTCGTTTTTTTTTTTGAATAAGGAAAAAACCCTTCTTCCTTATTACGTAAAGAGAAAAACCTACATCAATGTAGAAAACAAAAAAATAAAATACGGAATGGGAAGAACCAAACAATTCTATCATCATCTTTACGAGAGATCATGATTGTATTTTCTTGATGCGTCATGACATAATGATGTGTCATAATTGCTAATAATAGCAATGATGACTCTTTCATATATGTGAATTGGTACATGCTTGCTGTTGTACACGTAAGAAAACCTCAAACATTATGAAATAATAATTTCCATTGCATCAAAATATATGCAATAGGAAAAGTCAAAGAAATTAAGGTACTTTAGTTGAATTTGTGTATGATTCATTAAATAAACAAATGTTACGTCAGAAGCGCATCATAAAATGTTTTGAAGGTCACGTATTAAATTGTCAAATAAAGGAAAAAAGCCGAATAACTGTTGTTGACAAAGCAAAAAACAAAAAAAATGTTGACTATATCTAAGAATAAAGTACATGATGACGTGGTTAAAAATTCCTTCGCCCTATCAACAAACATTTCGTCATAATAGTCAAGAAAATGTAACAAAAATAGAATAACAATATAAACTGCCATTTTTTTGAACACTGGAATAACAGACAAGACATTTGTCAGAGAAAATGAGTAAATTTATTAAAATTTTATAAAAGGAATGAAAAAAGTTATAGGCATTTAGTTTTAAATACTGATTATACAAGAAAAACAGTTATTGTAAAAGTTATTTGAAAAAAAATGAGAAAATCTAATTTTTTCCTTCTAAAAATATAATAATCAGTGTTCAATTTTAGATTTTCTCAGACTTCGTGATCTGAGGCAAAAAAAGCTTCAGGTTATAAATTTTTCTTTCTTTTTTCAGGAGCATCTATTTCGTATAATCTAAACGTACCACTTCAAACTGGAACTTCCAACTTTGCTGCAACATTTTTAACTCGGTTTATCTATTTGTACGGGCAAAAATGTGCAAGTTTATTTTGACTAAGATGTGTTGAGAAAACCTTTTTTAACGTAATTTCCACTTCTTTCATCTTTAAAAAAATTTTTCATAAAATTAACATCATTCTATTTGGGCTCAGCTCATCGAACTGCATCCAGCCATGTATAAATAAATATGTTTCCAGTAAAAAAGATTTTGTTGATCATTTTTATCATAAGTTTTTCTTAAGATGTGTTTTGAAAAGAAAATTCAATTTTTACAAAGTACTTTTTTCATATTAAAATGGCACTTCAACATTGGAAAACAATAATAATTCATAAATAAAAACTTCTTGTACCAAAAATATATTGATGTGTTTTGTTAAGGGTACTTCCCCCCTCTTTTTCGATCCTCTTGAAAATCGGGGAAGTCGATGTCTGGTCGCGGTGAAATTTATATCAGAGAGAGAGCATCAAAAAAGAAAATTAATGTACTTTTGCTCAGAGTTTTCTGACGCGTTCTTCTATGGATTTTCTGCAAAAATGCACTTTTCATCAGGCCTCATTACGACCCCTCGAAAAAATGGTGTAATCAATCTCAAAATTTTACCATAGATACTTTAGACCCTATCTCAGGCTCGTTTTTCGTCTTTCCGAAAAATATACTTTCCTTCTCGAGATATCCGAAAAATGTTGAAAGTCACGCAAAAAAAGTCAGTTTTTTTTGTGTGATTTTCAGCATTTTTCGGATAATTCGAGAAGGAAAGTATATTTTTCGGAAAGACGAAAAACGAGCCTGAGATAGGGTCTAAAGTATCTATGGTAAAATTTTGAGATTGATTACACCACTTTTTCGAGGGGTCGTAATGAGGCCTGATGAAAAGTGCATTTTTGCAGAAAATCCATAGAAGAACGCGTCAGAAAACTCTGAGCAAAAGTACATTAATTTTCTTTTTTGATGCTCTCTCTCTGATATAAATTTCACTCCGACCAGACATCGACTTCTCCGGTTTTCAAGAGGGTCAAAAAAGAGGGGGCTATCCTAAGTACTTAATGTCATGCTGTTTCATTTCTTATATCTGTTTGTCGATTAAAGTGTGATTTTTTTTCTCAGTTGACATGGTTTTATTCAGATGAGATATGTATTGAAATTTTCTAGATTAATTCGCGAATTAATTCATTTCCATGCAACAAAATTCAATAGTTTGTAATGCCGTAAGAAAGAAAGAAAGAAAAAAAGAAAGACAGATCGAAAAAAAAATTCAATCATGAAAAACCGCTGCTGTTATAAAAGATAGTTGCTACAACAAAATGAAAAACATAAAGGCGTCTGATCTGTTTAGTTTATCGTTTTTACTTCTATATAACTATGTCCTTCTCTGTTTTACAGTGAAAAATAGTGCATATTCTAGAAAAAGTTTTCAGTATAAATTGAACGAAAAAGGCTCATATCGAGGCATACATAAATGCCTCGAAGGTACACTTACTATTAACAAGAAAACGACGAAGAATAAAAAACAATTCTAACATGATTATTTTAACTTAAGATTTGTTTTTCAGGAAAAAACTGAAGACTTTAGAATATAAGACGCATTTATCATATGTCAGATAGAAAAATTTCGTATGACATCCTTTAAAATAGAATTTTCTTCTTCATAGTTCTTTTTTCTCTAAAGTTCTCTCGTTTAACACATAGTAATTCAAAGACATGCCATCAAGATTCAGGTAAAAGTTATAATTGATAATAACCCTATAAACTGACATGATTACACAAATAAACGATTTCCTTCCATTTTTTATAGCTATAGCTGATAAATGTACTTTTCTTCCATTTCATAGAAATCAGTCATATATAAAATAAGTGTGATTTTTAACGCCGATTAAAGATAAAAAAATGTTTCGAAAACAATTAAACTCAAGGGGAAAATGTATATACCTGATCTAATACCCATTGACTAAAATCGCCTGATTGATTATGTTAGACAAAGAAAATGTAATATTTTACTAACTAAAACATAACTAAAATTTGTAGACCAAAAAAAATCGAACACCAATTTTTCTAGTTAATCAAATAGAGATTTTAGCCTAGATGCGCTCAAGTATAATTTCTTTTCTTTTATCACGCATTTCTGTCTCTAGAGTAAGTCGTTTAAATTGAATTATAGTGTGCTAGATTCTTCACTCACACATCTTGTCAGATAGTCCGTAGTTAAGCTGACATAACGTGTAAAATAGTCAGAATGGTTTTGAAAACAAAAAAACCTTTCCTACATAAATCAAATTTTTAAATAATGGAAGACAAAATCTGTCATGTTCTAAAACAATTGAGATAAATCAAAGTTGAAAGGTGACAACATTCAATGTATGCATGTATGACGGACGCTTTTGCAATATTTTCATTCAGTCTCAAATACTGCTACTACACTTGTTAGAAATTATATTTCATCAAGCTTTGACAATTTGTGCTCTATCCTGATGAATATTAGTCAATTATTCACATAAAGAAGTTGATAAAATTGTATGGAAACAAAGGAAGTAATTTTGTTTTTCTTGGAATCTGGCCATATTTTTCTTTCTTCTTCTGCTCTTTAAAAGAGAAAAAAATATATAGAGCAGTTACTTTTTTCTGTAACTCATATTTTTTTTTTCATAGAAAAAAAAAACACAACAAAAACTCTTCACGCTACTGCCGTTTTTGACAGCATCATTACCATCATACATCGCGACATGGTATTTTTCTGTTTTTTTTTCTTGAATTTATTCCAACTAGTTATATAAGATCGAAAACGGAACAAAGAATCATTGCTCATAAAACATTGTACCCGTTAATCTTGAATTATCTAGAAGATGGTGACGGATATAATGTCTGTTATCACTGAAACAAATAGTATACTAGCTTTTATCGACTCAAAAAAGACGATTTTTTGACGGATGAATGAATAACTGGAGTGACTAGATTTTGCTTATACGACTAAATCAGTTTTAGCATGATTTCACACGTTTTTTCACAAAGAATTCCCAAAATTTAGCAAAAATAGATATTAAACTATAGAAGAAAATTAGTCTATGTGCAATCATTTCATGAATAATTTTTTTCAAGCAATTTTTTATTTAATTAAAACGAAGAGAGAGAAAAACAAAAAACACCCCAAATCATTCATTTCGTAATCCTTCATATCACTTTTTTTTTTTATTCGAGCCATCTGCGACTTTGACAGAATGAAAAAAAGTAGTAATCACGTAGGCAGATTATTGAATTGATACAATCTCACATCACTATCACCACCCACGACTAAGAAAATGGACAATAGTAGCATACATTTTAAAATGAAAAGAAATAACAATAACACTCTCGATGTTATAAAATACGCCTCGTATCATTTGTAGATTCAATTTAGGCAACGATAATAAAATAAAAGAGGAAAATGTCACATCAACCGTGAGATTCACTTCAATTCACGAAAAAAACCTCAATCATTTTAGAACATAACAGATTTTGCCTTCCATTATTTAAAATGTTTATGAAAAAAATGACATTTTCTTTTTAGTTCAACCGAGTTTACAGCAAAACTATGAGAAAGATTTCATTTTACGAGGGAGCCGCGTAAGATATCTCGCCGCTTTTCACCACCCATGTTCATAGCTTTTTCCGGCTAATGAACAAGTTTAATGTCGTTATG